GCTTATTCCAACGACTACACTGGTAGGGAAAACGTTAATAAGCCCATTTTGGCGCTCACATGAAGTTACACCCTCTAACCGAGCCTTTATCGAAATAGAGGTTATGTTGTGGTTCATCATTTGCACATTTTATGTTTTTATTTACCACATCATTCAAAACTCAGTGAAGAGGGCTGCTATTTACTGACCACCTCCAGACCCCGATATGTTCTGACGATAATCTGGGAGCAGTCACCCTGCGTGAGTGCTGCTATGAGGGAGCCGGAGTGCTGTTCTCACCTCTGCCTGAGCCAGCCCCAGCCCAAGTTGTCTTTCTACAGTCAGTCAGAAAACAACTTTGAGAGGGATAGAAACAGAAAGAGGCCTGGTTGGTTATAGTTTTTTTCACACGCTCCATGTGTCACTGTCAGAATACTAAGTAACAAGGGTCAGAAAAGATTCTATTTTAGTGCAACAGACTTACAGTAAATGAATTCTAGACACTGCAAATTGCACAAGGGCCTACTGCTTTTAGTATGTAGTCCAGCTGTAAGTTTTCGGAAAAAAAAAAAAAAAGAAAAGATAAAATCCATTAAGTAGATAGAGGGCAGAAGAAATGCCAAACCATAAATCATATACAAGCAATGGATAGATTTCTCATGTCACTTAACGTTACGGCAGCCATGTTGGCTCCACAAAGCAGCAACACTGAGGTCCCTGGAGTGGAAGGAGGCAAAGAACCCGGGCCTTCATCACATTCCAATGCTGCTGAACACATTCTGGAAGCACGTACCTGCAGACTTCCTGTTTGTATGATGATTAAGTATTATCATTGTTTAAGCCATTTTTAGATAAGTAGTCCATTGCTTGTTGTTGAACATATTCTAAAAGCAATAGTGGCAAATACTGTCACTAGGTGCTTCTTTATAACATCTTTCTTCTGCTTACACGTTTTAAAATATAGGTAACTGCATATACGCACATATAAATATACGTCAGTACATACTTTCTGGTTATCATTATGTACAATTAAGTATACATAGGAAAGTATAAAAAGTGTACATAAAAAAGATTTTTTAAAAAAAGAGTAGATGAGCACAGCAAAATGTTAAGAGTGGTAATTTTGGCCAAGTCTAACTATGGATGATGTAATTTCTTCTGTTTCCAATGTTACAAGTTTTCTATGAAAACACATTAATCTCTGGATGGAAAAAGTAAACTTTATTTTTAAGAAATAAAACTTTCATAAAGGTAAATTTTTGTAGTAAGAGAGAAATTCAACCACGCTGACATTTCACAGAACTTTCATTAGGCTAAGAGCAGAGTATCTGTCACAGCATCACCACACAAGGAGTGCTACATACTTTTCAACTCCCTAAGAATAGAAAAGTGGGAAGGAGGCCTAATATATACCGAGATAAATTAAAAATTAAAGCATTTTCTGCTTTAGCAGGGAGCTGGGCTGGATGATCCCCAGGTCTACTATCCAGTGAACTGACACGCAGAAGTAAAGACAGTCCCACAATTCTTTCTCCCAGGATCCTAACAAAACGGCATGGCCATCGATTAGTAATGTTGAAGGCTTTACAAATCAGAGATACACAGTTTTCTATGCAAGGTCCAGAGAAATAACTGCGCACATTCAATAATTTCATCTTGAACGTAAAGTAGAAGTTAGGACTAAAATTTCTTATTGTTGCTTTTGTAGAAAACTGAAATGCAACCCATGTACCTTCCACTCCCCTCCACATCTGACCTACTTTGTTTCATCTACACCCTTCCCACTCCCTCAGCAACCTCCTCACCTATTGCATTAGGCCTGATGGGATTAAGTAGCTGGGGAAACCCTGTGTGTGGCACCTGTTTAAGGAGTCTCCGCAGGTGGGAGGAGCTGGGAGAGACTACCTGAGAAGGACCTGTGTGAAAGCAGTATGGCCCTTAGACTGGAGAAACTGGAGTCCCGTCCCGGGTCTCACGCATTGACAGGTCTGCTCTCACCCTCCTCTGGCCACTCCCCTCCCCACAGAGAGAGGAGTCTCAAGGAAATGTGCCCACCAGAGCCTGTGCCCTCCTAACAGGAGCTGGTACCTGGAACTTAGGAATTCCCTACCCAAATGGCTCGAGGCCATTCCAGGACGTGCTCTGATCCTGGCATAGATCCTACAGGTGGGCAAGGTGGCTGGTGGAGAGGTGGGTGTGGGCAGAGCTTAGACCTGGGGACTGAGTCCCCTCAAAGTACTGAAAGGGAGAGTAGAGGTGGAAAGAAGGGGTGCCCCCTTGTTCTTGCAGACCAAAACCTCCCATCTGGAGCTCCATTCTTGCCCCAGAACCCATAAATATTTTAAAATGTCTGAAAATAAGGGGCATCTATTAGTATTTCTCAATATTCTTGAATTTAAATTTATGCCATTGGTGCACTTTGTCAAGTTAGCTCAAAGGACTGATAAGGAGTCAGATGAACATTGTCTGAGTCCCTGGGAGAACAGAGAAAAGGTTATGCTTGAAGCAATTAAGTTGGCCAATATGGTCATCATCAGAAAAACAAGATTTACACTGAACCATGAGGTCAGAGCTGACCAATGTTCACTTGCTGAGCAGATCTTTTCTATGGCTTTCTCCATCCTAGAGTTAAGAGCGTTCCTTCCTCTTCCCTCGGTTCCACTCCCTCATCTCACTGGATTCTCCAGAAGAGAACAATACCTCCATTGTAGAAAACTTTCTCCCCAATCCTGAGATATAAGGAAACTTGTCTGACCTTGGAAATCTCCCTATAATGTCTAAAACAAAAATCGCCTGTGGTTGCCTCTGTACAAAATGGAATTATTATTTATGCACGTACTTCATTTTGGAAAGAAGGAAGTGCTAGGAGTAACACCTATTACATCCTAGAATTCAGCCATTAAAGTACAAGGGGCGGAGAGTGTTGCTATATATCTTAACAGGCACACCTAAGGGGAAAAAAGGAGAAAAAGCAAAGCAAAGCAGCCCACAACAGCAATTAAGATTTTTCATTCCTGAGTGGATAATATGTGGTTTCATTTAAATAAGAACACAATCTTCATTAACTTAATTTGTAAAAGCAATAACTCCAACATTCCCAGTTAGTGCCCTACAAAGACATTTTTAGACACATTGCTACTTTGAAATTAAAAGTGAATCAGTCCTGTGGAGTTAATTACCAGTAAATATAACCCAAATTAGGTTTTCCACATGGCACTGAGCCAACAGGAGATGGTTCTGTTTTAGCCAGAAACATTGCAAGATATCAGGTACGCATAAAGCTAAGTTTACACGCGTGGCGAATGATGATAGGAACATTGGGAGAAATCGTTCGCAGCATGCATGGTGAGAAACAAGGATAAAGACCTAACTAAAAGAAGACCTTTCTGAAAGAGATTTGGAAACGTGCCCCAGCCTCTCCGAACGGGAAACTCTTCAGTTCTGTTGTTGTCGCCTAGTCCCCGAATGAATTATGGGAAAGGAAAGGAGATTATACCTATTTCTTTGTAATGCTGGCATTTGGACCCTATTTAATTATATAAAGTAGAAATAATTTTAGAAACTAAAAATAAAATTAAATAAAGCCAGAACAAAGAATGTACTTTCATCACTAGAGCTTTAAAACAGTGTCATCTGTTATAGGGTGCTCAGGGAGGTGTGCAAAAAGACCAGAGACAGAAGAAAACAACTCAGAAGAATAGTTTTCTGAACTTTAATTAATTATTTGAATCAAGGAAAATGTGAGTGGATGAAACCTTAGAAAGAGAGAAATGGTGCATGCACTAAGGGATAGATTAATAAAATGACTGCTGATCTATTATTGGTGATGAACATATTTGTTTTGCTTTGTTTTACTACAGACATGTCAAAATTTCCTGCAACTCCCATAATTATTCAAATGCACAAGTGTTCCCACTCTCCTGGCTTACAAAGTCGAGGAGGCCAACAAAGCAATTATATGGTTAACCGAGGCTGTTCAGCCCCAGATTTGATGTAACTAGTGGTCAGACTGCTGATAGATGTTTATTTAAAATTTCTTCCCATTTTAATTTTATAAAGTGGTTTCACACAATTGTGCATTTCAAATATTTCTAAATAAATTTAGTAAACCAAAGATGAAAATGACAAGCCTCAAATCGTACATTTTAAAACAGATTCCCATTTGAACTGTCCGTTATATATAACTGAGTTTATTACATCTCCTTTAACAGACACGATACTAATGTCGTGGTAATATATATATGAACTACATAAGAAACAGTGCTGCTTTCCAAGGCATGGCTGTCGAAACTCTAAAAGAGTACAGAAGGCTTTGCAGAGCCAAACCATAGTATTAATCCATCTTGACTGTGGTTCCATTTGCAAGATAAAGTCCCAACTGGGCATTTTCTCATAAATTGAGTCAAGACAAGAACTCCTCTAGGTAGCCAAGGTTGTCTCTGTGTCTCTTTTCAAATAATTGAAGGCCATTTCTTCTGGTGTCTGGAAGAAGTAAAATGTCCTTGTCTAAGGGGTATTGCTTTAGTAGACCACATGCCCAATAAGTTCTAGCATCTAGGAGCATGCAACAGCAGCTAATATTAGCTATGCAGTCATGGTATTATTAGTGTTTAATTATATCATGTGCATTGAGATATTTTAAATGGTAAAGAGAAAACAGAACTTATTCTCCTTAGTAACCATTAAAGTACAGAGCTGCAATCACACTCATAAGACAAGTAAATGGATTACAAAGTGAGAGTAGCAACAGGTGTGCATGCTATAGAAAACGTGAAACTGGTACCTAAAATAGGTAACCCTCTTATTTATTTTCAAAATTCCATTGCTGGCTCAGAGCATCAATCAACACAATGGAAAAATTTCACTTTAACACTCATTGCCATTTTTCAGTCTTAGAAGTGCAAAAAAGGAGTATAAAATAATAATAAATTTGTTTATTTCCTTATTGGCTAAGATTCTATCTCATTCAGGAATGATTTTACTTTATAAAAACCCTTTTAAGAATAAAGGGCTTGAGGTCTTCACGGCAACTCATTACTGGTGTGCACGTCAGCGGCTTCATTCTTCGGGAGAATATACAAAGCGTAAATTATAACAGAAGCATCCTCAAAGACAGGTTACTCTCTAAAATACTTCTCAGATATTATTTTCTTCATCGACAGTGTCTCCTTTGGCTCATGCACACTCAAGGCGCTTCATAGATATTGTAAGACGATGAAAGTGGGAGTGGTAATACATTATGAAAGTTCATTTTCAAAAAGTGTTGAAATACGTTAACTGGTTCTTTTAAAATGCCAGTTTGCCGGTTCTTGAAGTCTCCAGTGTTTTAATTTCAGGATTTCTCTAAAACACAGAAACAAAGGGTAAAAACTGGGCAGCCATTCAAAATGGAGGACCCCCATTTAGGAAGACACCTTGATTCAGGTATCCCCGTGGGGTCAAAGGCGAAATCTTCGAACCAATTTACTGGGCTTCGCCCAAGAGTCTTCATCCAAGCAAGGGAAACTTTACAAGAGCAGGAACCAAAACTCTCTGCCTCCCGCGGGCCCTGGCCGGGTCACCAGTGCTGGCCGGCGGCGCGAGTGC